TTGGGGGGATTTTAGGGGCTTTGGGGGGATTTTGTGGGTTTTGGGGGTATTTTAGTATTTTGGGGGAGTTTTAGGGGGTTTTTGGGGGATTTTTGGGATTTTGGGGCGGGTTTGGGGGGATTATTTTGGGTTTTGGGATGTTTTTGGTGTTTTGGAGAGATTTTGGGGGTTTTAGGGGGATTTGGGGGAATTTAGGGCGGTTTGTGGGGATTTTTTGCGGTTTTGGGGGATTTTTTTGGGTATTAGGGGGATTTTTGTGGTTTTGGGGGGATTTTTGGAAATTTTTGGGGGGATTTTGGGAATTTTTGGGGTTTTTTGGGGGGATTTTGGGAATTTTTGGGGTTTTTTGGGGGGATTTTGGGGATTTTTGTGTCCCCCCTCCCTCCAGCGGCTCCCCCCGCCCTGTGAACTTTGTGGGGGTGCCCAAACCCCGCGCGGGTTTTTGGGACAGATTTTGGGGGACCCCAGACCCTTTTTGGGGCGCCAGGAGGGTTGGGGACACTCCGTGGGGGCGGGAGGGGGATTGTGGCCCCGCGGTGGCCCCGCGGTGGCCCCGTGCGACAATGGGGGTGGCGCGAGGCTGTCAATGATTAACGCGCGGTGCCTGGCGGCGGTGGCACTGCTGGTGGCACCGGTGGCACTGCTGGTGGCGCTGCCCCGTGGCACCGGTGGCACTGCTGGTGGCACTGGTGGCACTGCTGGTGGCGCCGGTGGCACTGCTGGTGGCACTGCTGGCACTGCTGGTGGCACTGGTGGCGCTGGGAAGCCGCCAGGGGACATCGCGCCGTGCCCGGGGGGTCGCTTGTGTCCCCTCCCCATGCGACGGGCAGGTAACGGCGGTGGCGGGGACAGGACACCGGCCATTGTCCCCAAGGGCTGGCACGGGGTGGGGGACAGCAGGGGACGCGGGGACAGGAGGGGACGCGGGGTCCCTGAGCGCCACCAGTGGGCGTTTCCCGCTCCTCCCAGCCCAAACTGGGGGCGACAGGGACGCGGTGGTGGCACTGGAGGTGACACCCCGAGGGACACGGTGGCCTCGCGGTGCCACCGAGGAGGGACGGCCGCGGGTGGCCCGTGGGGGAAACTGAGGCACGGTGGCACCGCGGCTGCTGTGTCCCCTGCAGGGGTGGCCTCGAAGCGCCAGGAGCGCCCCGGGGGTGCCGCGGTCGCCAGGAGCGGTGACATCGCCGCGAGGTCCCCTCGGCGCCACCGCAGCGCCGCCCCTCGTGCCAGGCGTGTCACCTTCGAGGACGAGCTGGGGACAGCGCGGGGGAGGCCGGGGGACAGCGCCGCGCCCCCAAAGGGGTCCCCAAAAGGGTCCCCTAAAGTGTCACCGCGGCTGGACGATCCATCCCGGTCCCGGCGGGATTCCCGACATTCCCGATCCCGGCGGGATCCATCCCAACAGGATCCATCCCAACAGGATCCATCCCAGTGGGATCATTCCCGACATTCCCGATCCCGGCTGGATCATTCCCGGTTGGATTATTCCCAGTTGGATCATTCCCAATATTCCCAATCCTCGTTGGATCCATCCCAACAGGATCCATCCAAATCCCAGTGGGATCCATCCTGGAGGGATCCATCCCAGCATTCCCAATCCCAGCTGGATCCATCCAGATCCCAGTGGGATCATTCCCGGCATTCCCGATCCCAGCTCAATCCATCCCGATCTCGGCTGGATCATTCCCAGCAGGATTCATCCCGACATTCCTGATCCCAGTTGGATCTATCCCAACAGGATCCATCCCGGAAGGACCCATCCCAGAATTCCCGATCCTGGATGGATCCATCCCAATCCCAGTGGGATCATTCCCGGCATTCCCGATCCCGGCTGGATCGTTCCCAGCTGGATCCATCCCATCATTCCCGATCCCGACAGGATCCATCCCGATCCTGTCTGGATCATTCCTGGAGGGATCCATCCCAGCATTCCCAATCCCAGCTGGATCCATCCAGATCCCAGTGGGATCATTCCCGGCATTCCCGATCCCAGTTCAATCCATCCCGATCTCGGCTGGATCATTCCCAGCAGGATTCATCCCGACATTCCCGATCCCAGTTGGATCTATCCCAACAGGATCCATCCCAATCCCAGTGGGATCCATCCCAGAAGGACCCATCCCAGAATTCCCGATCCCGGATGGATCCATCCCAATCCCAGTGGGATCATTCCCGGCATTCCCGATCCCGGCTGGATCGTTCCCAGCTGGATCCATCCCATCATTCCCGATCCCGACAGGATCCATCCCGATCCTGTCTGGATCATTCCTGTCTGGATCCATCCCAGGTGCTGCCCCCCGCCCTCCCCGGGGGCGGGACCCGGGGCCGGTCCCGCAGCGCCGCCGCCGCCGCCGCCTCCGCCGCTCCCGGCTGCCATTTTAAGGTGAACAAAGCGGCGGAGGAGGCGGCAGGTGAGCGGCTCCGCGGTACCGGCAACCCCCGGTACCGGCACCGGCACCGGCAGCGCGGGGGGAGGGCGGTACCGCAACGGGAGGGAGCACCGAGCACCGGGGGTCTCCGCTCCCCGCTGCGCACGGGGGGGGTTCGTCCTTCCCCGAGGCACCGGGGGCCCCGCCGGGCTTCTCTCCGGTACCGCGGGCCGGACCGGGAGCGGCCACGGGATTCCACCTCACCGGCGCCCGGGTCCTCGTCGGTACCGGATTCCAGAGCGGTACCGGGGTCCCCACCGGGTCCACACCGGTACCGGGGTCCCGCCGGTACCCGATTCTAGAGCGGTACCGGGGTCCCCACCGACACCCAGATCCCTGCCGGTACCGGATTTCAAAGCGATACCGGGGTCCCCAGCGGGTCCCCACCGGTACCGGGGTCTCCACCGGCACCCGGGTCCTCGTCGGTACCGGATTCCAGAGCGGTGCCGGGGTCCCCAGCGGGTCCGCACCGGTACCGGGCTCCCCGACACCACCGAAATCGCCTCCGTGCTCCCCCCGGCAGCGCTCCCGGTACCGGAGCCGTGCCCGGCCCCGCGGCTCCTCCCGTGTCCCCACAGCGGGCAGGGACCCCCGAGTCCCCGCCGCCACCGGCGACACCGCGCTCCGGTCCCCGCTGCGGCTCCCGGTGCCTCCCGGGGGTCCCCGGTGGCGTCGAACGGGGGGATCCCCCCGGTACCGGGAGATTTGGGATCGGTGGGATCGCGAACCGGGACCCTTGGGCACCCCCAAAACTCCTCCCCGCCCCTCCCGGGGGTCGCACCGAGCCCCGGTACCGCCGGAACGGGCGCCCGCTTTGGGTTTCCCGCAGGAATTCGCGTTTCCCGCAGGGATTTGGGGGTTTTTTGGGGTTTTTTTTTTGGTTTTTTGGGGTCTCTGCGTGACCCGGGGGTGTCCCCACATTAATTTCGCTGATTTTCAGCCCCCCCCCAAATTTTCCAGCCGCTCTCCTCATGGCTCTGCCTCACGTGGCCTCGGTAATTATAATTATTTTTAATTATTTTGATTTTTTTTTTTTTAATTGCGATTATTTTGATTTTTAATCCGGCCGGATCAGCTTAGGCCCCGCTTCCCATCGGGGAATTCCAGCAATCCCAATTAATTCCCTGCCGGCTCCGGGGTGTTGGGGACAGGGAGGTGACACCGAGAGCGCGGCGTGGCTGGGGTGGCACCGGCTGGCCCCCCCGTGCCCGGTGCTGCCCCCCGCCCTCCCCGGGGGCGGGACCCGGGGCCGGTCCCGCAGCGCCGCCGCCGCCGCCGCCTCCGCCGCTCCCGGCTGCCATTTTAAGGTGAACAAAGCGGCGGAGGAGGCGGCAGGTGAGCGGCTCCGCGGTACCGGCAACCCCCGGTACCGGCACCGGCACCGGCAGCGCGGGGGGAGGGCGGTACCGCAACGGGAGGGAGCACCGAGCACCGGGGGTCTCCGCTCCCCGCTGCGCACGGGGGGGGTTCGTCCTTCCCCGAGGCACCGGGGGCCCCGCCGGGCTTCTCTCCGGTACCGCGGGCCGGACCGGGAGCGGCCACGGGATTCCACCTCACCGGCGCCCGGGTCCTCGTCGGTACCGGATTCCAGAGCGGTGCCGGGGTCCCCAGCGGGTCCGCACCGGTACCGGGCTCCCCGACACCACCGAAATCGCCTCCGTGCTCCCCCCGGCAGCGCTCCCGGTACCGGAGCCGTGCCCGGCCCCGCGGCTCCTCCCGTGTCCCCACAGCGGGCAGGGACCCCCGAGTCCCCGCCGCCACCGGCGACACCGCGCTCCGGTCCCCGCTGCGGCTCCCGGTGCCTCCCGGGGGTCCCCGGTGGCGTCGAACGGGGGGATCCCCCCGGTACCGGGAGATTTGGGATCGGTGGGATCGCGAACCGGGACCCTTGGGCACCCCCAAAACTCCTCCCCGCCCCTCCCGGGGGTCGCACCGAGCCCCGGTACCGCCGGAACGGGCGCCCGCTTTGGGTTTCCCGCAGGAATTCGCGTTTCCCGCAGGGATTTGGGGGTTTTTTGGGGTTTTTTTTTGGTTTTTTGGGATCTCTGCGTGACCCGGGGGTGTCCCCACATTAATTTCGCTGATTTTCAGCCCCCCCCCAAATTTTCCAGCCGCTCTCCTCATGGCTCTGCCTCACGTGGCCTCGGTAATTATAATTATTTTTAATTATTTTGATTTTTTTTTTTTTAATTGCGATTATTTTGATTTTTAATCCGGCCGGATCAGCTTAGGCCCCGCTTCCCATCGGGGAATTCCAGCAATCCCAATTAATTCCCTGCCGGCTCCGGGGTGTTGGGGACAGGGAGGTGACACCGAGAGCGCGGCGTGGCTGGGGTGGCACCGGCTGGTGACTCACCGTGCCTCAGTTTCCCCACGTCAACCCGCGGCCACTCCGTGCCTCAGTTTCCCCATAAAACTTGTGTAGCGTCTCCAAAGTTTTTGTGGAGTCTCCAAGGGGTTTTTTGGGGGTTTTCCAAGGTTTTTTTGAGGGGGTCTCCAGGTTTTTTGGGCGGGGTTTCTAAATTTGCTTGTGGGGTCTCCAAGGTTTTTTTTTTGGGGGGGGTCTCCAAGATATTTTTGGGGCAGGTTTTCCAAGTGTTTTGGTGGGGTCTCCAAAGCTTTTTTGGGGGAGGTTTCCAATATTTTTTGGGGGGTTCTCCAAAGTTTCTTTGTGGGGTCTCCAAGTTTTATTTTTTTGTGGGTTCTCCAGGGTTTTTTAGGTGGGATCTCTAAGGTTTTTCGTGGGGTCTCCAAGGTTTTTTTGTGGGTTCTCCAAAGTTTTTTTGGGGGTGTCTCCAGGTTCTTTTGTGGGGGCCTCTCCAGGCTCTTTTGGGGAGGTTTCCCAGCTTGTTTTTGTGGGATCTACAAAGTTTTCTTGGGGGTTCTCCAAGGGTTTTTGTGGGGTCTCCAAGGTTTTTTTGTGGATTCGCTAAGATTTTTTGGTGGTTCTCCAAGGTTTTTTTGGGGGTGTCTCCAGGTTTTTTGTGGGGGCCTCTCCAGGCTCTTTTGGGGAGGTTTCCCAGCATTTTTTGTTGGGATCTGCAACGTTTTCTTGTGGATTCTCCAAGATGTTTTTTGGGTTCTCCAAGGTCTTGTAGGATCTCCAACATTTTTTGGACACTCCAACCCTGCGTGGCCACTCCGTGCCTCAGTTTCCCCGCACAAACCACCGCAACTCCCGCTCCCACTCCTCCTGGGTGGCGACGGTGACAAAGGGACCAAAGTCCTTCCTCCGCCACCTCCGCCGGTGACAGAACTCCCTCGATCCCTGTCCCCCGCAGGGATGTTCACCAAGAAACCCTACGACAGCTCCTACGGGCCGCCCCCCGCCTCCTACGGGCCGCCCGCGGGCGACTACGGCTACGACTTCGCCGCCCGCTCGCCGCCGCCGGGCTCCTACTACATCGAGGACGTCCCTCAGCATTTCTACAAGTGGTCGTCGCCGCCGGGGCTGGTGCGGCTGCTGGAGGGCGCGGTCATGCTGCTGTGCGTCGCCGTCTTCGCCTGCGTGGCCTCCACGCTGGCCTGGGATTACGGTTACGGTTACGGCTACGGCGGCGCGCTGGGCACCGGCCTGGGCGGCTTCTACGGCTCCGGTTATTACGGCAGCGGGGTGAACTACGGTTACGGTTACGGCGGTTACTACGGCGGCGTCGCCAACCCGCGGGCGGCCAACGGCTTCATGATCGCCATGGCCGTGCTTTGCTTCCTGGCCCAGCTGGGGCTTTTGGTGGCCAGCTTGAGCAAGTCCAGCGGTTCGCGGTCGCGGCGTTTCTACCTGGTGGTCATCGTGGTGTGCGCGGTGCTGGCCTTGCTGATGTTGGTGGCCAGCATCGTCTACGTGGTGGGGGTGAACCCGCAGGCGCAGATGAGCGGCGGTGGCTACTACTACAGCCCGCTGCTGGCCATGTGCAGCCAGGTGTACGCCGGCGGCACCGTGCTCAACCAGTACCTGTACCACTACTGCACCGTGGACCCGCAGGAGGTGGGAGCGCCCGGGGGTGGGGGCTGCTGGGGGTGGGGGGGGGGGGCGTAGGGGGGGAGGGGGGTCACTGGAGGGATGGAGGCTGCTGGGAGGGGATGGGGGCTACTGGGGAACAGGGACCACCAGGGGGATGGGGACTACCAGGGAACAGGGGCTACTGGGAGGGAACAGGAGCTACTGAGAGGGGATTGGGACCACCAGGAGGGGATGGGGACCACTGTGGGGGGACGGGGGCTACTGGGGGACGGACCACTGGGGGGGGATGGGGACCACCAGGAGGGAACAGGGACCACCGGGAGGGGATGGGGACTACTGGGGGACAGGGACTACCGGGACAGGAGGGAAGAACACCCAAAAGATGAGGGAAGGACCACCAGGAAATGAGGGATGGACCGAGGGAGGGGGACACCTCAAAAAATGAGGGAAGGACCCCCACAGCAAGGTTTGGGGGTTGGGAAGGTTTGGGATTTGGGAAGGGCAGAGAAAAATTTGGGATTCAGGAATCAGCCCTGCCCCGAGCTCACCTCCCCCCTGTTCGCCCCCGAGCCAGCCCCAAACCGCAGCGATCCCAAAGCATTCCCGGTCCCGGTCCCTGTCCCAAGTAATTCCCAGATCCCGATCCCGGTGCCCATCCTGGTCCTGGTCCCGGTGCCGGTCCCGGTGCCGTCCCTGGCCAGGCCGGGGCCGCTCCCCCCGCCGGGGCTGGAATTGGAATGCGGCCCTTCCAGCCTGGCCGGTGGGACCGGGAGCGCCCGGGGCCGCCCGGGACTGGCACGGGATGGGGCCGGCCCGGGATGGGGCCCCGGGACTGGCACGGGATGGGGCCGGCCCGGGATGGGGGCCCGGCAGTGCCCGGCTGGCACCGGGAGCCCCCAGATCCCGCCCGTCCTTCCCTAACCCCGAACCTTCCTTAATCCCGAACATTCCCAAATCCCAAACATTCCCAAACCCCGAACCTTCCCGATTCCCAAACATTTCCTGTCCTTTTAGAATCCCAAAACTTCACAAATCCCAAATTTGAGGTCTGGGAAGGAGAGGAAAGGTTTGGGGTTTGGGAAGGTTTGGGATTTGGGAAGGTCTAGGATTTGGGATTTGAGAAGGTCATGGAAAGGTTTGGGATCTGGAAGCATTTGGGGTTTGGGATTTTGGAAGGACAGAAGTGGTTTGGGATTTGGGAAGGTCTAGGATTTGGGATTTGGGAAGGTCAGGGAAACGTTTGGGATCTGGGAGCGTTTGGGGTTTAGGTTTTGGGGTTTGGGAAGGTTGGGGTTTGGGAAGAGGATCTTTGGGATTGGGCTCACTGAACACCGCGAGGATTTTGGGGATGAGAATCTCAAAGCCAGGAATCCCCAAACCCGAATTCCTGAATCCCCAAATCCTGAATCCCAAATAATTCCAGAATAATTCCCAAATCCTCGAATTCCCGAATAATCCCCAAATAATTCCTGAATAATTACTGAATAATTCCCGAATAATTCCTGAATAATGCCTGAATATTTCCCAAACAATTCCCAAATAATCCCTGAATAATCCCCGAATATTTCCTGAATAATTCTGGAATAATCCCCGAATAATTGCTGGATAATTCCTGAATATTTCCCAAAAAATTCCCAAATAATCCCTGAATAATTCCCGAATAATGCCTGAATATTTCCCGAATAATTCCCAAATAATCCCTGAATAATCCCCAAATATTTCCGGAGTAATTCCCGAACAATCCCCGAATAATTCCTGAATAATTCCCGAATATTTTCCAAACAATTCCCAAATAATCCCTGAATAATTCCCAAATAATCCCTGAATAATTCCTGAACAATCCCTGAATAATTCCCGAATAATTCTCAAATAATCCCTGAACAATTCCCAAATAATTCCTGAACAATCCCCAAATAATTCCTGAATAATTCTCAAATAATCCCCGAACAATTCCCAAATAATTCCCGAATAATTCCCAAATAATTCCCGAACCATTCCCGAACCATTCCCTCAGGCCGTGGCCATCGCCTGCGGGTTCCTGGCCGTGCTGCTGCTGTGCCTCATCTGCGTCCTGGCGCACAAGACGCGCAGCAGGATCTGGAAGTACGGAAAGCACAACATCCACTGGGACCGGCTCCCCGCGGGGCCGCAGGGCGCCGACGTCGAGGAGTGGGTGAGAGCCGCACGTTGGGAGCGGGGATTTTGGGAGGTTGGGATTGTTGGGTGTTTGGGATTGTTGGGATTTTGGGGATTGTTGGGTGTTTGGGAGTTTGGGGATTGTTGGGAGTTTGGGGATTGTTGGGATTTTGGGGATTGTTGGGAGTTGGGGATTGTTGGGATTTTTTGAAATCTTGGGATTTTGCAATGGTTGGGTTTGTTGGGTTTTTGGGGATTGTTGGGAGTTTGGGAGTTTGGGGATTGTTGGGTGTTTGGAGATTGTTGGGTGTTTGGGGATTGTTGGGTGTTTGGGAGTTTGGGGATTGTTGGGAGTTTGGGGATTGTTGGGATTTTGGGGATTGACTTCAGGAGAATTTGGGGACTTCAAGGGAGGTGTGGGGACACGAGGATTCTGTAGGGACCCCAGGAGGGGTTTGGGGACCCCAGGAGGGCTTGGGGACACTGCCAGGTGACCCTGCCAGGTGACACTGCGAGGTGACACTGCCAGGTGACACCGGGGCCACCGCGCGGTTTCGGTCTGGCCAATGATTAACCGGGAGGTGGCAGCGGGAAAACCCGGAGTGGTGGCACTGGATGGGGACCTTGGGGACATCCCGGTGTGACCAGCGTGGCCCGGGATGTGTCACCTGCTGGGGACGGGGGTGGGAATGTCACAGCGGTCCCGCGGGAAGGGTTGGGACAGTGGCTTTGGGGACACTCCTGTCCCTGTGCTTGTCCTCTGTCCCCATCCCTGTCCCTGTCCCCTCTCCCCATCTCTGTCCCCTGTGTCCCCATCTCTGTCCCCTGTCCCCTGTGTCCCCATCCCTGTCCCTGTCCCCATCCCTGTCCCCACGCCACCACTCCCAGTCCCGTGTCCCTGGGCCGCGCTCCCTGGGTCGGTTTTTATTTAATTTTATTTAATTTTATTTATTTTCATTTCTTTTGATCCCGCCCGCCTTTATTTGCCCAAAGCCCCTCCCTGGCCGAGCATTTCCTGTCCCTTTGGGGACACGGTGCCACCCCGGCTGCCACCCCCAGATGCCACCCCGCACCCCGTGCCACCTCCCCTCTTTCGGGGTGTCACCCCCTTTGGGGACACCTCTGTCCCCAGATGCCACCACGGCTTGGGGACACACCTGGTGGCCCCCGAGAGGGGACAGCGGCGGAAGTGGCGTGTCCGGCCGGATGTCCCCAAGGCCACCAAGCCGGCGGGGACCGGCGTCCGGCACAAACAACCCACAAAGGGCCGGAAGGAAGGGGACAGGGGACAGCCGGATGTCCCTTGTCCCTCTGTGAGGCCACCCCAAACCCTTGGGGGCGTCACCCTGAGGGTGGCACCAGCCCCGAGCTCTGTCCCTTTGTCCCTTTGTCCCTTTGTCGCTGTCTCTCCACGGGCATTTGGGGTTTTTGGGGTTTTTGGGGTTTTTTTGGCTTTTGGGGTTTCTGCGTTTGGGGTTTTTTGGTTTTGGGGTTTTTGAGTTTTTGGGGTTTTTGGGGTTTAGGTTTTGGGTTTTTTTGGGGTTTCTGGGTTTGGGGTTTTTGGGTTTTGGAGTTTTTAGGGTTTTTTTGGTTTTGGGGTTTTTTGGTTTGGGGTTTTTGGGAGTTTTTTTGGGGTTTTTGGGCTTTTTTTGGGATGTCTCTAGAGGATCTGGGAGACTCCAAGTGGGACAACAACCCTTAGTTTCCGTGGACTTTCTGGGATTTCTCAGGGAATTTTCAGGGATTTCTTGTGGGATTCTCAGGGATTTATCAGTGAATTTTCAGGGATTGTTTTGGGATTTATCAGTGGATTTTCAGGGATTTTTTTGGGATTTCTCAGTGGATTTTCAGGGAATTTTCCGGGATTTCTCAGACAATTTCCAGGGAATTTTTGGGGATTTCTTGGTGGGTCTTCAAGGAATTTACTGGGATTTCTTGGACAATTTTCACGGAATTTTAAGGGATTTCTTGGTGGATTTTAAGGAATTTTAAGGGATTTCTTGGTGAATCTTCAAGGAATTTTCAGGGATTTCTCAGACAATTTTGGGGAATTTTCTGTGATTTCCCGGACAATTTTCAGGGAATTTTCGGAGATCTCTCCGGGAATTTCGGGGCAATTTCCACGCAATTTTCTCGGGGGCATTTCTGGCCGATTTCTCCTGAGTTTTCCCCCAAAATCCCAAATCCCGACCCTTTTTCCAGGTGAAGAACGTGTCGGGCGGGACGAGCGTTCCGGACGAAGCCGCCACCGTGGCGTACTCGGAGAAGGGCGGGACCCCCGGGCCGGCCCCTCCCTACAGCCCCCCCTCGTACAGCGAACCCCCCGTGAAGGGCTGGAAAAGGTGGGGAGGGGGCAGCAGGGCCAGGGGAAGGGAGGGGGAATGGGGGGAATATGGGGAATATGGGGAGGGGGCAGGAAAAGGGGTGGGAAAATGGGGAAGGGGTGGAAGAGGGAGGGAAAGGTGAGGAGGGGGCGGGGAATATGGGGAGGGGTCGCCAATGTCCCCATATCCCAAATCCAACATCCCCAATGTCCCCACGTCCCCAATGTCTCAACATCCCCAATGTCCCCAATGTCCCCAGTGTTCCCAATGTCCCCAAAGTAACCCATGTCCCCATATCCCATGTCCCCATATCCCATGTCCCCATATCCCATATCCAATATCCCCCAATGTCCCCAATATCCCCCATTTCCCCAATGTCCCCCATGTCCCCGATGTCCCCAATGTCCCAATACCCCCAATATCCCTGATGGCCCCATGTCCCCAGTGACGTCCCCCCTGATGTCCCCAATATCCCCAATGTCCCCGATATCCCCGATGGCCCCATGTCCCCTCTGATGGCCCCAGTGTCCCCAATACCCCCAATATCCCCGATGGCACCATGTCCCCAGTGTCCCCAATGTCCCTGATGTCCCCCATGTCCCAATGTCCCCAATGTCACCAATGACCCCAATGTCTCCATATACTAAATCCAATGTCCCCAATGTCCCTGTCTCCCCAATGTCCCCAATGCCCCCAATATCCCTGATGTCCCCAGTGTCCCCAGTACCCCCAATACCCCCAATGTCCCCAATATACCCGATGGCCCCATGTCCCCCCCGATGGCCCCAGAGACCCCCATATCCCCAAACACCACTTTGTGCCCCTTTTTTGCCCCTTTTTTACCTCTTTGTGCCCCTTTTCCACCCCTCTGTGCCCCTTTTTCACCCCTTTGTGCCCTTTTTCACCCCTTTTTTATCCCTTTTTTACCCCTTTTTCACCACATTTTCACCCATTTTCCACCCCTTTTATTCAACATTTTTTCACCCCTTTTTCACCCCTTTGTGCCCCTCTTTTACCCCTTTTTTATCCCTTTGTGCCCCTTTTTTAACCCTTTTTCACTACTTTTTCACCCATTTTTCACCCCTTTTATTCACCATTTTTTCACCCCTTTTTCACGCCTTTTTACCCTTTTTTCACTCCTCTGTGCCCCTTTTTTACCCCTTTGTGCCCCCTTTTTCTCCCTTTTGCCCCTTTTTCACCCCTTTTATTCACCATTTTTTCACCCCTTTTTGTCCCTTTTTCCTTCTTTTTCACCTGTTTTTCACCCCTTTCCCCCCTTATTTCCCCCCCATTTTCCCTCCCTGTCCCCCCTCCTGTCCTCCCTCCTGTCCCCTCCCTGTCCCCTTCCTTTTCCCCCCCCCATTTTCTCTCATTCTGTCCCCATTCCCCCCTATTGTCCCCTTTCTGTCCCTCTGTCCCATCCCTGTCCCCTCTGCCCCCTCCGTCCCCCCTGTCCCTGTCCCCTCTTCCCCTCTGTCCCTGTCCCTGTCCCCTCTGTCCCTGTCCCTGACCCTGCTGTCCCTGTCCCTGTCCCCATTCCTGTCCCCGTCCCTGTCCCCTCTGTCCCTGTCCCCTCTGTCCCTGTCCCCTCTGTCCCTGTCCCCTCTGTCCCTGTCCCCTCTGTCCCTGTCCCCTCTGACCCCGCTGTCCCCTCTGACCCCGCTGTCCCCGCAGGCTCTGGCCGAGGAGTACAACCACCTCAAGGACGTGAAGCGGGTGAGTTTTCAGGGCTGATTTTTGGGCTCTCCCCCTTCTTTGGTGGCACCCCCAAACGTCCCCAAAACGTCCCCAAACGTCCCCTAAAGTCCCCAAATCCCTTCCCAGAGCCCGGAGTACCAGGACAAAAAACGAGAATCCAAAACTCTCCGGAACAAACTCTTCCACATCAAAAGGATGGTGAGCGACTACGACAAACTCCGGGGCTGACCCCGAAGCCACCACCCCAAAAAAAAGGGACATTTTTAGGGGGGACACCCCAAAAAACACCCCCCGACACCCTCCAAAGACTTTTGTGCCTTTTTCTTTGTGTTAAAAAGACCCAAAATTCCTCGTTTTGAGCCCTCCCCGGTGCCAAGGTGGCGGGGGATGGTGGCAGCTGTTGGTGTGACCCCCCCCACCTCAAAATGTCCCCAAATGTCCCCCACACGCTTTGGGACCCCCCCAGTGCCTTCCCCTGGTTGTAAATAGGTTTTTTTATGGGGTTTGCACTCCCCTGGCTGCCTTAAAGGGCTTTTGGGGGTCCCAAATTGGGGTTTGGGGGGACAAAAAAAAAACCTTTTGGGTTTTTCAATTTTGGGGGGGATCCAAATCCCCAATATTTCGTAGGGAATTGGTGGGAACTGTGGGAATTGTGTAATATTTTAATTGTTTTGTAATAAATGAAGTGTAATTGTTGATTTTCATTTGGGGTCGGGGTGAAATGAAAAGGCCAAAATTCCCTTAAATTTGGGAGGGGACCCCAAAAACCCTCCCAGTTTTGGAAGGGAAATCCCAAATGCCTCCACTTTGGGAAGTAAATCCTAAATCTCTCTGTTTAGGAAGAGAAATCCCAAATCCTCCCAAACCTTGGGAAGAGAAACCCAAACCCCCCAAATCCCAAATCCCCCCATCCCCAAAAAAACCCCAAACTGAAGAAGAACCCCTGAAATCCCCAATTTTCCACCCCAAAAATCCCAATTTCAAGATTTTTATGGAACATTCAAAATTTTTGGGGTGAGTTTGATCTCCCCAGTTCCAATTTTCTGCCAGATCCCAAATCCAGACCCTTGGGATTGTAAGAAATGTCTTTAATTGGCATTAATTAATGGGTTTATATGGCAGAGCGAGGATTCCATCAGTGGGGAATGGTCCCGGAATCCCCAAATCCCCAATCCTGAAATCCTGAAATCCCAAAATCCCCAATCCTGAAGTCCTGAAATCCCAAATCCAAAAGTCCTGAAATCCCAAATCCCTAAATCCTGGAATCCCAAAATCTTGAAATCCCCAAATCCTGAAATCCCAAATCCCAAAATCCTGAATCCTGAAATCTGAAATCCCAGAATCCTCAAATCCCAAATCCTGGCTCATTCCAGACCACCGGGGTTGTAGGAAAGGTCTTTAATTGGCATTAATTAATGAGTTTATATGGCGAGCGAGGATTCCATTGGCCGGGAATGGTCCCAGAATCCCAAAATCCCAAATCCTGAAATCCCAAATCCTGGCTCATCCTGGTGCCAGCCGGGGGGGACAGTCCCAGGGGGGGTCTGTGTCCCTTGTGTGTCCCCTCCATCTTTGGGGACACCCTGGGGACAACGCCAGGACCCCAAAACGTATGGGGACAACCTCAGGACCCCAAAACCTTTGGTGACAACGCCAGGACCCCAAAACTTTTGGGGAAAACATCAGGACCCCAAAACTTTCAGGGACAATTTGAGGACAATATTGGGACCTCTTCTGGGGACAACACCAGGACCCCAAAACTTCTGGGACAACACCGGGACCCCAAAACCTTTGGGGACAACATTGGGACTCCAAAACTTTTGGGGACAAAGTCAGGACCCCAAAACTTTCAGGGACAATTTGAGGACAACATTGGGACCTCTTCTGGGGACAACACCAGGACCCCAAAACATTTTGGAGCAACACCAGAACCCCAAAACATTTTGGGACAACACTGGGACCTCTTTTGGGGGCAACCTCAAGACCCCAAAACTTTTGGGGACAATGCCGGGACTCCAAAAATTCCTGTGACAACGCCAGGACCCCAAAACCTTTGGTGCCAACCCCAAAACTCTTGAGGCACAACCCGCGAGGGCGTGTCCCCGTTCCGGCGGGATCAGGAGCTGCCGGCATTGCAGAGAATTCCAATCCCAATCCACTTCCCGGGGAGCATCCGTCCCCTTGTCCGTCTGTCTTGTTGTCCAGCCCATCCCACTGTCTGTCTGTCCCGCTGTCCAGCCTGTCCCGCTGTCCAGCCTATCCCACTGTCTGTCTGTCCCGCTGTCCAGCCTGTCCTGTTGTCCAGCCCATCCCATTGTCCAGCCCATCCCGTTCTCCGGCCTGTCCTGCTGTCCGTCCGTCCCGTTGTCCAGCCTGTCCTGCAGCCTATCCCACTGTCCGTCTGTCCCGTTGTCCAGCCTGTCCTGTTGTCTGTTGGTCCCGCTGTCCGGCCTGTCCCATTGTCCAGCCTGTCCCTATTATCTGGCCCATCCTGTTGTCCAGCCCATCCCATTTTCAGGCCCATCCCATTGTCCATCCTGTCCTGCTGTCCGTCCGTCCTGCTGTCCAGCCCATCCCATTGTCTGGCCCGTCCCGTTCTCCGGCCTGTCCTGCTGTCCGTCTGTCGTGTTCTCTGGCCCGTCCCACTGTCCAGCCTGTCCCATTGTCCAGCCTGTCCTGTTGTCTGGCCCATCTCATTTTCGGGCCCATCCTATTGTCTGGCCCGTCCTGCTGTCCATCCATCCATCCCGCTGTCTGTCCGTCCCGCTGTCCAGCCTGTCCCATTGTCCGGCCCACCCCGTTCTCCGGCCCGTCCCATTCTCTGACCCATCCTGTTCTCAGGCCCGTCCTGCTGTCCATCCATCCCGCTGTCTGTCCGTCCGGCTGTCCGGCCTGTCCCGTTCTCCGGCCCGTCCCGTTCTCTGGTCCTGTTCTCCGGCCCGTCCCGTTCTCCGGCCCGTCCTGCTGTCCATCCATCCCGCTGTCTGTCCGTCCCGCTGTCCGGCCTGTCCCATTGTCCAGCCTGTCCCATTGTCCGGCCCGTCCCGTTCTCCGGCCCGTCCTGCTGTCCATCCATCCCGCTGTCTGTCCGTCCGGCTGTCCGGCCTGTCCCGTTCTCCGGCCCGTCCCGTTCTCTGGTCCTGTTCTCCGGCCCGTCCCGTTCTCCGGCCCGTCCTGCTGTCCATCCATCCCGCTGTCTGTCCGTCCGGCTGTCCGGCCTGTCCCGTTCTCCGGCCCGTCCCGTTCTCTGGTCCTGTTCTCCGGCCCGTCCCGTTCTCCGGCCCGTCCTGCTGTCCATCCATCCCGCTGTCTGTCCGTCCGGCTGTCCGGCCTGTCCCGTTCTCCGGCCCGTCCCGTTCTCTGGTCCTGTTCTCCGGCCCGTCCCGTTCTCCGGCCCGTCCTGCTGTCCATCCATCCCGCTGTCTGTCCGTCCGGCTGTCCGGCCTGTCCCGTTCTCCGGCCCGTCCCGTTCTCTGGTCCTGTTCTCCGGCCCGTCCCGTTCTCCGGCCCGTCCTGCTGTCCATCCATCCCGCTGTCTGTCCGTCCGGCTGTCCGGCCTGTCCCGTTCTCCGGCCCGTCCCGTTCTCTGGTCCTGTTCTCCGGCCCGTCCCGTTCTCCGGCCCGTCCTGCTGTCCATCCATCCCACTGTCTGTCCGTCCCGCTGTCCGGCCTGTCCCATTGTCCAGCCTGTCCCATTGTCCGGCCCGTCCCGTTCTCCGGCCCATCCCGCTGTCCATCCATCCATCCATCCATCCGCCGTCCATCCATCCGCCCCGCCGTCCATCCATCCGTCCATCCCGCCATCCGTCCGTCCGTCCGTCCGTCCCTACTGCCCGGCGCCGTAGGGCCAGTTGAAGGTGCTGCCGGACAGCAGCATGTCGCGGATCAGGGTCTCGATGGGCGTTTTGCCCACCAGGCGCATGAAGAAGAGCTGCGAGATGAGGGCGGCGGGCACGGCGCGCAGCGCGGGCAGCCGCAGCAGGAGCCGCCCGAAGCGCTGCGGCTGCGACGGGAACTGCGAGCGCTCGTATTCCGTCAGCGCCACCTGCGCCTTCTCCTGCAGCGTCTCCACGTGCGCCGGGTCCGACAGCCCGCAGGCGTCTGCAAGGGAACGGCCGCGCCGTTGGAGGGCGGCGGGATTTGGCACGGCATCCGCTGGGAGTGTCCCAAAATCCAATAGCCCAAAATCCATTGGGAATATCCCCCAAATCCATTGGGAATTGCCCAAAATCCATTGGGAGTATCCCCAAATCCACTGGGAATGTCCCCAAGGGAATAACCCCAAATCCAGTATCCCCAAAATCCATTGGGAATATCCCCAAGGGAATAACCCCAAATCCAGTATCCCCTAAATCTATTGGGAATATCCCCAAATCCATTGGGAATGTCCCCAAGGGAATAGCCCAAAATCCATTTGGAATATCCCCCAAATCTACTGGGAATATCCCCCAAACCCATTGGGAGTATCCCCAGATCCATTGGGAATGTCCAGAAGGGAATAAGCCCAAATCCAGTATCCCCAAAATCCATTGGGAATATCCTCAAATCTATTTGGAATATCCCCAGATCCATTTGGAATATCCCAAAATCCATTGGGAATATCCCCAGATCCATTGGGAATGTCCCCAAGGGAATAGCCCAAAATCCATTTGGAATATCCCCAAATCCATTGGGAATATCCCCAGATCCATTGGGAATGTCCACAAGGGAATAACCCCAAATCCACTATTCCCAAAATCCACTGGGAATGTCCCCAAATCTATTTGGAAGATCCCAAAATCCATTGGGAATAACCCCAAATCCATTGCGAATCTCTCAAAATCCCAAGTCCCTAAACCCTCAGAAAAACCTGGAACCACCTCTCCCTACCCATCCCCAACCCCAAAAACCCTCAGGAATCCCCACTCCAATCCCTCCCACCCAACCCCAACCCCAAAAACCATTGGAACAACCTCTCCCTACCCATCCCCACCCCCAAAAACCCTCAGGAATCCCCCCCCCCATCCCCCCCCCCCCCCCCCCCCCCCCCCCCCCCCCCCCCCCCCCCCCCCCCCCCCCCCCCCCCCCCCCCCCCCCCCCCCCCCCCCCCCCCCCCCCCCCCCCCCCCCCCCCCCCCCCCCCCCCCCCCCCCCCCCCCCCCCCCCCCCCCCCCCCCCCCCCCCCCCCCCCCCCCCCCCCCCCCCCCCCCCCCCCCCCCCCCCCCCCCCCCCCCCCCCCCCCCCCCCCCCCCACCCCACCCCCAAAAACCCTCAGGAATCCCCACTCCAATCCCTCCCACCCGACCCCAACCCCTCACCGGGCGTGAAGAGCGCGATGGCCTTGAGGCAGCTGTACTCGGCCGAGTCCACCTGCAGCCGGTTGAGCTTCTCCACCTGCTCCTGGAAGACCCGGATCTGATCCATGAAGGCCACCACCCTCTCGGCCGACATGGGCGAGGCGTGGAAGCCGGCGGCCGCCAGCAGCGGCGCCATGTGCAGCGGCAGCGCCGACTGCGCCGCGTTCAGCACGAAGAGCTCGCTCCAGCTCAGCCGCAGCAGGGCCACCTGGTCGGACACGGGCAGCTCCGGGAAGAAGGGGATGTTGCGCGCCCACTCCACCGTGCTGAAGAGCAGGCGGGCGGCCAGCTCGCAGATGTTGTCGATGCCCATGACGCTGCCCGGCGGCTGCTGCTGCTGCGCGTACTGCGAGCCGTAGCGCGCCGCCGGGTAGGGCTCGGCGCGCAGCAGCTGCGAGATCAGCTCCGACACCGGCTGCCCGTTGAAGAAGTCGCCGGCCGGGAGGGGGTTGGGGCTGCTGCTGGAGTGGCTCGGGGGGATTCGGCCCCGCTGGACGGCTGGAGGGGCAGGAGGGTCAGGATGGTCATGGTGAGGCCAAAAAAGTCCTACTGGGTTTGCATCCCGATCTAAAAAACCCCAACGGATTTTCATCCCCATCCCAAAAACTCCCATTGGATTTTCATCCCACACTGATCATACTGGATCTTCATCCTGATTCTGCGTGGATCCTACTGGGTTTGCATCGTCATCCAAAAAATGCCATTGGATTTTCATCCCAATCCCAAAGAATCCTACTGGGTCTTCATGGTGATCCAAAAAAATCCCAACAGATTTTCATCCCCATCCCAAAAAGTCCCATTGGATTTTTATCCCACACTGATCATACTGGATCTTCATCCTGATCCTACTGGGTTTGCGTCCTGATCCAGAAAATCCCAACGGATTTTCATCCCCATCCCAAAAAGTCCCATTGGATTTTCATCCCACACTGATCATACTGGATCTTCATCCTGATTCTGCGTGGATCCTACTGGGTTTGCATCGTCATCCAAAAAATGCCATTGGATTTTCATCCCCATCCCAAAAAGTCCCATTGGATTTTCATCCCACACTGATCTTGCTGGATCTTCATCCTGATCCTATGCGGATCCTACTGGGTTTGCATCGTGATTCAAAAAATGCCATTGGATTTTCATCCCAATCCCAAAGAATCCTACTGGATTTGCATCGTGATCCAAAAAATCCCATCAGATTTGCATCCCGATCCCAAAAAACCCCAGCGGATTTTCATCCCCATCCCAAAAAATCCTACTGGGTTTTCATCCTCATCCCAAAAAATCCCAATGGATTTTCATCCTGGTCCCAAAGAATCACATTGTATTTTTATTGCGATCCCACACTAATCCTACTGGATCTTCATCCTGATCCTACACGGATCCTACTGGGTTTTCATCCCAATCCCAAAAAATCCAATTGGATTTGCATCCCAATCCCAAAAAATCCCACTGGGTTCTCATCGTGATCCAAAAAATCCAATCGGATTTGCATCCCGATCCCAAAAAATCACAGTGGATTTTCATCCCAATCCCATGAATCCTACTGGATTTTCATCCTCATCCCAAAAAATCCCAATGGATTTTCATCCTGATCCCAAAAAGTCCCATCGGATTTTCATCCCGATCCCAAAATATCCAATCAGATTTTTATCTTGATCCCACATGGATCCCACTGGATCTTCATCCCAATACCAAAGAAACCTTCTGGATTTTCCCCCTGATCCCAGAAAATCCCACCAGCTTTTTATCCCGATCCCACACGGATCCACCAAAAATCCCCAAAAAAAAGGGAAATTTTTTTCCCCCCAAAACCTGTGATTCCCGGGATTCCTTGGGAATTTTTTCCCTACCTTCCTTCCTCATTCCCACTCGGAAGCACTTCTTGAGGCGGCAGTACTGGCACTGGTTCCGGTGGTGTTGGTCGATCTGGCAGTCCCGGTTGGATCTGTGGGAATTTTTGGGATCAGCCGGAATTCCTGGGAATTTCAGCCCCCCCCCAAATCCATCCTGGGAATCCAAGAGCCCATTCCCCCTAATTTTTATGGGATTTTCTAGGAATGGTTGTTGCTGGTGGGTTTTTTTTTCACGGTGATCCCAAAAAATCTCATTGGATTTGCATCCCGATCCCAAAAAATCCCACTGGATTTTTATCCTGATCCCACACGGATCTTCATCCTGATCCTACATGGATCCTACTGGATTTTCATCCTGATCTCAAAAAATCCCACTGGATTTTCATCCTGATCCCAAAAATTCCCACTGGGTTTTCATCCTGATCCAAAAAAATCCCACTGGATTTTCAGCCTCATCCCCGCCCCCTCTGGGAAATTTTTGGGATTTAATTGTTGGTGGTCCCATGGAAGCGGCTCCAGGAATTCCAAGGAATTCCAGGAATTTCCTGCGGGGCTGGGCCTGAAACGCCTCAGGCAGCGCTGGCCCCAAATCCCGCGGGATTCTGGGATAAGGGAGAGAATTCCCAAAATTCCTCAGAGCCTGCAAAAGGAGTCCTGGCCCAGGGACTCATCCCAAATTTCCTCAGATTCCCAAAATCCCTGGAAAAGGGGTCCTGGCCCATGGATTCATCCCAAAATCCCAGAAAAGGGGTCCTGGCTCATGCATTCATCCCAAAATTCCCAAAATTTTGGAAAAGGGGTCCAAAATCCCTGCAAAAGTGGTCCTGGCCATGGATTCATCCCAAAATTCCCAAAATCCCTGGAAAAGGCTCCTGCCTCCCATTCCCCCACGGAATCTCCCCCTCCAAACCCCCCCAATCCCATTCCCAGGCTGATCCCAGAGCGGGAAATCCCTTCCCAGCTGGAATTGGGGGCGGGAAAAGGGAATTCGGGATGAATTCCAGGCCGGAGCCGCGGGAATCCCGCCACGGATCTTTCCGGAATCCCAACACGGAATTAATTCATCCCCAACATTCCCAGCGTGGCCGGGAACGTGATCCCGATGAAAAGCAGGAGCAGGAGCGGCTCTGACGACTTCATCCAGGCCTGAATTCCCAGAAAACGGCCGGGAAGGGCTCGGAGAACCGGGAAAAAACGGGAGTTATCCCGGATTTTTTTTTTCCCAGTGGATGAAAACACCCAGGAGAGCCTCCAAGGGTTTGGAGCAGCAGGAAAAGATCCCAAAATTATCCTGGATTTTTTTTTTCCCCCAGTGGATAAAACCACCTGGGTAATTCTGTGGAATTTTGGGAAAAGATCCCCAAATTATCCCAGATTTTTTCCCAGGATAATGCCTTGGAATTTTGGGAAAAGCTCCCCAAAATTATCCTGGATTTTTCCCGGTGGATAAAACCACCTGGGTAATTCCTTGGAATTTCGGGAAAAGCTCCCCAGAAATATCCCAGATTTTCCCCAAAGGACAAAATCACCTGGATGATCCCACCACAGCCTTGGAATTTTGGGAAAAGATCCCAAAATTATCCTGGAAATTTTCCCAGTGGAAAGGGATAGGGAAGAGCTGACAGCACTGGGATTTGCGAGATTCCTGAAGTTTTTTTTCCCTATTTTTTTTTTTTAATTTAAAAAGCCTGGAAGTGACTTGGGAATCGCTGGAATCTTGGGATATTCCAGAGGGTTTTTTCCCATTTTTTTAATTTCAAAAGCCAGGAAGTGACTTGGGAATTTTTGGCTTTTCCAGAGGAACAAAGCTCCAGGATCCCGCTTTTGTTCCGGGAATCCAAAGCGGCCCCGAGCTCATTTGCATATTCAAAGTGCCTTTAATTATCGCTCCCGCTAATTACCCGCCCTAATTAAGTCATTAGCACAGCCCGGGCCTTTCGGAGCTTCCCAAATTTCCCAGCTCGCTGCCGCCTTTCCCATTGGGAATCTCCGGAGGGGATTTTTGGGATGGTGGGGGAGGGTTCGGCCCTTGGGGAAAATCCGGGAGGAATTTTGGGAGCTTTTCCCAAAATTCCAAGGAATTATCCTGGGAAAAAAAAATCTAGGATAATTTTGGAAGGCTTTTCCCGAAATTCCAAGGAATTATCCCGGTGATTTTATCTACTGGGAAGAGTCCAGGAGGATTTTTTTTGGGAAGGTTTTCCAGCTGGGAATTCCGGCCTTTTCCACCCCTGGAGCTGAGGAGGGATTGAGGGAATTCCTGTTGGGATTGGGGGAAATCTGGGCTGAGTTTTGGGAGCTTTTCCCGAAATTCCAAGGCTGTGGTGGGATCATCCAGGTGATTTTACCCATTGGGAAAAATCTGGGATATTTCTTGAAGCTTTTCCCAAAATTCCAAGGAAATACCCAGGTGGTTTTATCCACTGGAAAAAAAAAAAAAAAATTGGTTATTTTTGGGGAGCTTTTCCCCAAAAAAATCCGGGATAATTTTAGGATCAGAAGTAGATGCCAGCTGGGATTGGAGCCGGGATTGGATCCAACAGCTCCTGGATGATTCCAGATCCTTTTCCCTTCTCCCAAAAATTCCAGAGCCCTCCCTGAGCCGGGATGAGGGAATGGGGACCCTCAGAAATTCGGGAATTCCGCCCTCCAGGAGCAGTCTGGGACTGGGGACTGGGAATTCCGGAGGTTCCGGCAGCTCCGAAGCTTCCGGGGATCGCATCCCGGATTCCTCAGAGATCCCGGGAGGGTTCGGCCCTTGGGGAAAATCCGGGAGGAATTTTGGGAGCTTTTCCCAAAATTCCAAGGAATTATCCCGGTGGTTTTATCCACTGGGAAAAAAAAATCCGGGATGATTTTGGGATCTTTTCCCAAAATTCTAAGGAATTATCCTGGGAAAAAAAATCTAGGATAATTTTGGAAGGCTTTTCCCGAAATTCCAAGGAATTATCCCGGTGATTTTATCTACTGGGAAGAGTCCAGGAGGATTTTTTTTGGGAAGGTTTTCCAGCTGGGAATTCCGGCCTTTTCCACCCCTGGAGCTGAGGAGGGATTGAGGGAATTCCTGTTGGGATTGGGGGAAATCTGGGCTGAGTTTTGGGAGCTTTTCCCGAAATTCCAAGGCTGTGGTGGGATCATCCAGGTGATTTTACTTTCCCCAAAAAAATCCGGGATAATTTTAGGATCAGAAGTAGATGCCAGCTGGGATTGGAGCCGGGATTGGATCCAACAGCTCCTGGATGATTCCAGATCCTTTTCCCTTCTCCCAAAAATTCCAGAGCCCTCCCTGAGCCGGGATGAGGGAATGGGGACCCTCAGAAATTCGGGAATTCCGCCCTCCAGGAGCAGTCTGGGACTGGGGACTGGGAATTCCGGAGGTTCCGGCAGCTCCGAAGCTTCCGGGGATCGCATCCCGGATTCCTCAGAGATCCCGGAATTCCAGGGGATCCCCGCTCCCATTATCCCAGAATTCCAGGGGATCCCAACTCCCATTATCCCGGAATTCCAGGGGATCCCTGCTCCCATTATCCCGGAATTCCAGGGGATCCCGGTGTTCCCATTACCCCGGGATTCCAGGGGATCCCCGCTCCCATTATCCCGGAATTCCAGAGGCTCCTCGCTCCCGCTGGATCCCGGTGTTCCCGATCCATCCCCGTGTTCCGGTCTATCCCGGTCCATCCCGGTCCATCCCGGTGTTCCCGGCGCTCCCGGCATTCCCGCGGCTCCCGCTGGATCCCGGCCGTGCCCGGGGTGAGTCACGGGCACCGCGGGAATGCCGGGAGCGCCGGGAACACCGGGATGGACCCGGATGGACCGGGATGGACCGGGAACACGGGGATGGACCGGAAACATCCAGAACATCGGGAATGGACCGGGAATGTATCGGGAATGTATCGGGAATGGACCGGGATGGAGCGGGAATGGACCGGGAATGCGGCCGGAGGAAGGACCTGGAATACCGGGAATGGGGGCGGCCGGGGGTGGGGAAACCGTGCTGGACTGGGGGAAACTGGGATTGACTGGGGGCAACTGGGATGGACTGAGGGAAACTGGGATGGACTGGGGGAAACCGTGCTGGACTGGGGGCAACTGGGATGGACTGGGGGCAAACCTCAGCTGAACTGGGAGCCACTGGGCTGAACTGGGAGCGCTGTACCGGGCAGCACTGGGGACCCCTCATTTGTACTGGGAGCCACTGGTTTGTACTGGGAGAGCCCCGAGCTGTGCTGGGAGCCACTGGTTTGCACTGGGACACCCCCAGCACCACCACGCCGAGACCCCAACTCATCCCCAAGCGGGATCCCCCCGGCTGTTCCCCCGCTCCCCTCGGGGTGTCCCCTGGCGGTGTCCCCCCTCTGTCCCCACTCTGTCCCCTGCTCCCCTGGCGCTGTCCCCCCGCTGTCCCCCGCTGTCACCTGCAGGTGTAGCTGAGGTTCCTGCGGATGCTGCGCTTGAAGAAGCTCTTGCAGCCCTCGCAGGTGAACACGCCGTAGTGCTTCCCGCTGGATTTGTCCCCGCACACCACGCAGTCCGCGCCGGCCCCGGGCCGCTCCTCCTCGCCGTGCTCCGCGTCGCTGCCGCCGCCGCCGGGGGACGCCGCCTCCTCCGCTCCGCCGCCGCCGCCGCCTCCGGTGCCACCGGCTCCGCCGCCGTTCGGTTCGCCCCAAGCGCCGGCCACCATGGCCATGGCTCCGCGGGGCCGCGGGGGCTCAGCGCCGCATCGAGCGGAGCCTGCCGGTGCTGCTGCTCCTCCCGGTGCTCCTCCCGGTGCGGCTTCTCCCGGTGCTTCTCCTCCTCCCGGTTCTTCTCTGCCCGGTGCTGCTTCTGCCCCCGGTGCTTCTGCTCCCGGTTCTTCCCCTCCCGGTGCTGGTTCTGCTCCCGGTTCTTCTCCTCCCGGTTCTTTCCCTCCCGGTTCTCCTCCCGGTTCTTTCCTTCCCGGCGCTGGTTCTGCTCCCGGTTCTTTCCTTCCCGGTGCTGCTTCTACCCCCGGTTCTTCTTCTCCCGGTTCTTCCCCTCCCGGTGCTGGTTCTGCTCCCGGTTTTTCTCCCGGTTCTTCGTCTCCCGGTTCTTCTCCCGGTTCTTCCCCTCCCGGTTCTCCTCCCGGTGTTTCCCCGCGCCGAGTTCGGTAAGTTTTACCGAGGAACAGCCGGCCGGGAAAAGCGCCGCTTTTTGGGGGAGTTTTTCTTTTTTAGGTTTTTTTTTGGGGTCGCCCCCTCAGGGATTTGTCGCTCTCCTCCTCCTCCTCCTCCTCCTGCCGGTTCACGGCCCCGCGGAAAGTTTGCGGCGGCGGCGGCGGCGGGGCCGGGGCGCGGCGCATCCCCCCGCGGGCACCGGCCGCATGCGGGGCCGCTCCCGCCCCCGGTGGCTCCTGCGCTCCGCGGCACCGGCTGGAAGGAGGAGGAGGAGAAGAGGAGGAGGAGGAGGAAGGAGGCGGCGCTGCCCCGGTTCGCCCTCGCCGCTCTCCGGGCCCCGCCGCCGCTCGCAGCCCGGTGCCGGTGCGGCTGCGGGTGCGGCGGGACCGGCTCCGCCGAGCCCCGGGGCTCTCCCCGCCTCCCGTGAAAGAGCAAAGTTCAGCCGCTGCCGCGGTGGCCGCCCTGGATGCTCCTCCCCGGCCTCCTCCCCTTCCGCTCCCGGGTCCTGCCCCGGTCCCGGCCCCGCCGCCGCCGCCGCCGCACCGGGGCCGCCCCCCGCCCCCCGCGCCCCGCGGGTCGGGAACGGCCACCGGCACCGGCGGGGCCACCGGGACCACCGGGACTACCGGGGCCGGCGGGGCCGGGGGGAGCGGGGATGGAGAGCGCGGTTCGCGCACCGGAGGCGGGGGNNNGCCCCGCGGGTCGGGAACGGCCACCGGGATCGGCGGGGCCACCGGGACCACCGGGACTACCGGGGCCGGCGGGGCCGGGGGGAGCGGGGATGGAGAGCGCGGTTCGGGCACCGGAGGCGGCGGCTGCGGCCCCTCCCGGGCCCCCGCGGCGGTTCGGGCACCCCCGGGGCTCGGCCGGCACCGGGATGGGGCTGGGACACCGGGATGGGACCGAGAAACCGGGATGGGGCTGGGAAACCGGGATCAGACTGGGGCATCTGGATGGGGCTGGGACACCAGGATGGGGCTGGGAAACCGGGGTGTGGACCGGGAAACTGGGATCGGACTGGGAAACCGGGATCGGACCAGGAAACCAGGGCTGGGAAACTGGGATCAAACTGGGATCACTGGGAATCCAGGATCAAACTGGGATTCTGGGATCACCCTGGTATCTCTGGGAATCTGGGAGCCCCACATTGTACCGGGGAAAAATCCTGTGGCCCCATAAAGTCCTGAGACCCAAAAAGTCCCGTGACCCCATAAAGTCCTGAGACCCCAAAAAGACCCGTGACCCCACAATGTCCCCGTGGCCCCAAAAGGTCCCTGCAGCCCCATAAAATCTCACAGCCCCAAAAAGTCCCGTGACCCCATAAAGTCCTGAGACCCCATAAATTCCTGAGATCCCAAAAAGTCCCATGGTCCCATAAAGTCAGGAGACCCCAAAAAGTCCTGAGACTCCAAAAGGTCCTGAGACCCAAAAAAGTTCCGTGCCCCATAAATTCCTGAGACCCCAAAAAGTCCCCGCGGCCCCAAAAATTCCCTGTGGCCCCAAAAAGTCCCCTTGGCCCCAAAGGCCCCCCGGCCCCATAAAGGCGGCTGCAATGCGGTCGGACCCGTCGGACCCGTCCAGGAGCGCTCCCGGTGGGTGCTGGGATTCCTGGGAATCATTAACCCGGGATAATTAATCGGGATAATCCCAGCGGCAAAAGGTGCCTGACCCCGGCACCCCGCCCTGCCCCGGGCAAAGTCCCCGAAGTGACCCCAAAAAGCTCGCGGTGTCCCCAAGGTGCCGGGTTGGGATCGGCCTTGGAGTTCCTGATCCGTGTTCGGGGTCGGGATTAAGGGAAAAGCGAAGCTGAGCCTGGAATTGGGGTGCGGGGGGGATGGCCATAAATGGAATGAAACCCCAAATTCCCTGGATTTAGGGGTTTGATCCTAAACACCCCCAAATTGTGGGATAACCCTGGAAAATCCGCTGGGAATGGGGCTGGGTTTTGGGGTCGAGATTCTCCCTGTCCCCGCAAAGTCCCCAAGAGTGGGGTGCCTCAATTCCCTGGATTTAGGGGTCTGATCCTAAAACCCCCCAAATTGTGGGATAACCCCTGGAAAATCCAGTGTGGAACAGGGCTGGGTTTAGGGGTCAAGAGTCCCCCTGTCCCCACAATTTAGGGGTTTTATCCTAAAGCCCTGCAAATAATGAGATAACCCCTGGAAAATCCAGCTGGGAATGGGACTGGGTTTTGGGGTCAGGAGTCCCCCTGCCCCCACAAGGGTGGGGTGCCCCAATTCCCTGGATTTACGGTGACCTGAAAGGATCCCAATTCCCCAAATTGTGGGATAACCCTGGAAAATCCACCGGGAACAGGGCTGGGTTTGGGGGATCCCAATCCCCAGAGTCCCCACAATGTCCCCAAAGATGGGGGTGCCCCAATTCCCTGGATTTAGGGGTCTGATCCTAAAAACCCCCAAATCATGGGATAAACCCTGGAAAATCCAGTGGGGAATGGGACTGGATTTTGGGGTCAAGAGTCCCCCTGTCCCCACAATTTAGGGGTTTGATCCTAAAGCCCCGCAAATCATGGGATAACCCCTGGAAAATCCAGCTGGGTTTTGGGGTCAAGAGTCCAGCTCCCAAATTCCCAAATTCCCAAATAATTCCCATTCCCACCCCTCCTCCTCCTCTTCCTCGCACTGATCCCACCCCACAAAAGGCCCCGGGAAGGCTCCGAGGTTTTTCCCGGCTCCCTTTTGGGGTCCCGGGAAGGCTCCGGGGTTTTGGGGTGGTTTGGGGTTTGTGGGGTGTGGGGGATGGGGATGGTGGAAAAGCGGGAAAAGATCCCAAAAATGATCCCAGATCCTTCTGAATGGACAAACCTGGACTGGGGGGTCAGGGAAAAATCCTAAAAATCATCCTGGATTGTTTTTCAGTGGGTGAAATCGCCTGGGGATCCACACCGTGGGTTTGGGGTTGGATGGGGATTGGGCTGGACTGGGGGGTCAGGAAAGATCCTAAAAATCATCCTGGATTGTTTTTCATTGGGTGAAATCGCCTGGGGATCCACACCGTGGGTTTGGGGTTGGATGGGGATTGGATGGGGATTGGATGGGGATTGGATTGGGATTGGATCGGGATTGGATCAGGATTGGATCGGGATTAGGCTGGGATTGGATCAGGATTGGGCTGGGATTGGATTGGGATTGCATCGGGATTGGGCTGGGATTGGACTGGGATTGGATGGGATTGGACTGGGATTGGACTGGGATTGGATTTGGATTGGACTGGGATTGGATCGGGATTGGACTGGGATTGGATGGGATTGGATTTGGATTGGACTGGGATTGGATCGGGATTGGATCGGGATTGGACTGGGATTGGACTGGGATTGGATCAGAATTGGATCGGTTCCACCCTGTCCCTCTGTCCCCCCCGATGCCCCATGGCTGAAATTGGGGATTTTGGGCTCCAATCCCCGATTTTCAGCCTCTCTGGGCGTTCAGGCCTCGCTGTCCCCACGTTGTCCCCGCCATGTCCCCAGTGTCACCCCAAGGGGCGGTGACACCTCCGGACCATCCCCTCCGCCTTTCCAGCGGGGAAACTGAGGCACGAACCGGGGACTCGCGGTGGCCACCTGCCCTGTGTCCCCTGTGCCACCTGCCGTGTCCCCAGTGCCACCTGCTCTGTGTCCCCAGTGCCACCGGCTGTGTCCCCAATGCCACCTGCCTTGTGTCCCCAATGCCACCTGCCCTGTGTCCCCTGTGCCACCTGCTGTGTGTCCCCAATGCCACCTGCCCTGTGTCCCCAGTGCCACCTGCCGTGTCCCGCGCTGTCCCCAGCCCCGAGGTGGCCCCGCTGTCCCCGCTGTCCCCGCCTGTCACGGGGCCTGGCCCCGCACAAAGGGAATTTGAATCTCAAAAGGGGCCGAGCCCTGAGCCCTGACCCCGGGGGCAGCGGGACCCCCGGACACGGACACGGACACTGGACAGACACCGGACACCGGACACCAGACAGACACTGACATGGAGACACTGACATGGACACAGACAGACACAGGACATGGACAGACATTGGACAAGGACAGACACCGGACACGGACACTGGACAGACACCGGACACCGGACAGACACTGACATGGAGACACTGACATGGACACAGACAGACACAGGACATGGACAGACATTGGACAAGGACAGACACCGGACATGGACACTGGACAGACACCGGACACGGACAGACACCGACATGGACAGACACGCACATGGACACCGACAGAGGTGACCCCGATTTGGGGCGGAGGTGGCGCACGGAATTTTCCCTGAATCCCTGAACTGTCCCCATGTCCTGCATTGTCCCCATGTCCCAAATCCCTGCGTTCCTAAATCCCTGAATCCCGAATTGTCCCTGCATCCCAAATCCTGCATCCCAAATCCTTCATCCCAAATCCTGCATCCCAAATCCCCCCATCCCTCAATCCCCACATCCCTCAATCCCTGCATTCCTAAATCCTTTAATTGTCCCTGCATCCCAAATCCTTCATCCCAAATCCTGCATCCCAAATCCCCCATCCCAAATCCCCTCATCTCAAATCCTCCATCCCAAATCCTCCATCCCAAATCCCTCATCCCAAATCCCCTCTTCCCAAATCCCCTCATCCCAAATCCCTCATCCCAAATCCCCTCATCCCAAATCCCTCCATCCCAAATCCCTCATCCCAAATCTCTCATCCCAAATCCTCCATCCCAAATCCCTCATTCCCAAATCCTCTATCCCAAATTCTCCATCCCAAATCCCCCATCCCAAATCCCCCATCCCAAATCCCCCCACCCCAAATCCCCCATCCCAAAATCCCCCATCCCAATTTTATCCTAATCCTATAAATCCCATCAATCCCATCCTATAAATCCAATCCCATAAATCCCACCCCACGGATCCCACCTCACCCCCTCCCACCCCCGTGCCTCAGTTTCCCCACCCCACAGCGCGCCCCCGTGATCCCAAACCCGTGGGAATTCCCGCCTGGCTGAGCCCAGGCCCCGCAGCCGCGGGGTCACCGCTGTGTCCCCTCCTGAATATGGATGTGCCACCGCTGTCACCTTTGACCGGGGCCACCGCGGGGGGGACGCGGCCTTTGTCCCCAACCCCGGGGACAAACCGGCCCCGGGCTCTTTGTGGGGTTCTCCAGCACGTTTGGGGTCTCCAGGGTTTTTGTTGGGGTCTCCAGGGTTTTCTTTTGGGGTCTCCAGGGTTTTTTTGGGGTCTTCAGGGTTTTTGGGGGGTTCTCCAGAGTTTTTCGGGGGGGTTCTCCAGCGATTTTTTGGGGGGTTCCAGTGATTTCTGTGGTTTCCCCACGGATTTTTTTTGATTCCCCCAAGAATTTCCCCACGGGTTTTCAGATTTTCCCATGGATTTTCCCCATAGATTTCTGAGTTTCCCCATGGATTTTTCAGATTTCCCCATAGATTTCCAAGTCTCCCCACAGATTTCCGAATTTCCTCATAGATTTTCAAATTTCCCCATAGATTTCCGAGTTTCCCCATGCATTTCCTTGTCTCCCCACAGATTTCCAAATCTCCCCATAGATTTCCGAGTTTCCCCACGGGTTTTTGGATTTCCCCATGGATTTTCCCCATAGATTTTTCATATTTCCCCATGGATTTTTCATATTCTCCCATCGATTTTTCATATTCCCCCATAGATTTCCGAGTCTCCCCACCGATTTCCGAATCTCCCCATATATTTTCCAGATTCCCCCGTGAATTTCCAGCTTTCCCCAGGGATTTCCGTGTCCCCCCAGGGATTCCCTAGATGCAGGTCTCTCCTCCGCGCTGCAGCTCCCGCAGTGTCCGGGCCAGGGCTCGCTCCCTGCGGCCGTGCTGGCCCCGCAGCGCCGCCGCCCGCGCCCGCAGCCGCCGCAGCTGCTCCGCCTGCTTGCGCCGCGCCCCGCGGTACGCCAGAGCCAGCGAGCTGCGGCGGCACCGGCACCGGGAACCGGGAACAGGGAACCGGGAACCGGGAACCGGGCCGTCAGCGGGGCGGGGGGAGCCGGGGGATTGGGGATTTAGGGAGATGGGGAATGGGGGGAGATTGGGGGATTTGGGGAGTCGGGGGATTTGGGACTTCAGGAAATGGGGAATGGGGGGAGATTGGGGGATTTGGGGAGTCGGGGGATTTGGGACTTCAGGAAATGGGGAATGGGGGGAGATTGGGGGATTTGGGGAGTCGGGGGATTTGGGACTTCAGGAAATGGGGAATGGGGGGAGATTGGGGGATTTGGGGAGTCGGGGGATTTGGGACTTCAGGAAATGGGGAATGGGGGGAGATTGGGGGATTTGGGGAGTCGGGGGATTTGGGACTTCAGGAAATGGGGAATGGGGGGAGATTGGGGGATTTGGGGAGTCGGGGGATTTGGGACTTCAGGAAATGGGGAATGGGGGGAGATTGGGGGATTTGGGGAGTCGGGGGATTTGGGACTTCAGGAAATGGGGAATGGGGGGAGATTGGGGGATTTGGGGAGTCGGGGGATTTGGGACTTCAGGAAATGGGGAATGGGGGGAGATTGGGGGATTTGGGGAGTCAGGGGATTTGGGACTTAGAGAGTCAGGAAGCTGAGAGATGCAGAGGATTTAGGGGAGTCTGGGATTTTGGGGTTTAGGGAGCCAGGGGAATGAGGGGAGTCGGGGCTTCCAGGGATCCAGGGACTCAAAGGGCCTCAGGGGAACTGAAGGAAATGAGGGGACCCAGGGACACCCAGGGGACACCAAGGGGACACCCAGGGGACCCCGTCCCGAGGCCCCGTGCCCACCTGTGCGCCTGGAGCAGCTCCAGGGTGACGCTGGCGCTGTGTCCCTGCTGGGCACGGCTGGCAGCGCTGCCCCGCTCCAGGGCCAGCGCCAGCTCCCGGGCGCGGCCGCGCAGCTGCTCCGTCCTGGGGACACGGGGCGTGTCACCGGGGCCACCCCGAGCCCAGCCAGCGCCGTTCCCGGCCCCACACAATTCCCGGGCCCGCAGAATTCCCAATCCTACAGAATTCCCAGCCCTACACAATTGCCAGCCCCACAATCCCTAATCCCACACAATTTCCAATCCCACACAGTTCCCAGTCCCACACAATTCCCAATCCTACAGAATCCCCAACCACACACCATTCCCAACCCCATAGAATACCCCGTCCCATAGAATTCCCAGCCCCACAATTCCCAACCCCACACCATTCCCTGTCCCACGCAACTCCAGCCCCATGCAATTCCCAATCCCACACCGTTCCCAGCCCCACAGAATTCCCAGCCCCACAGCTCCCGTCCCTCACCTGGCCCGGATCCGCAGCAGCTCCTCCCTCGTTCTCCGGGGGTCCGGGGGGTTCCCCGGAGCCATCGCCGCCCCCCGGCCCATCCGCGCCTCCTGCAGAGATTCCCGGTGTCTCCCATCCCTCGGCATCCCCCGAATCCCGGGAATCTCCCCATGGGATCCATCCCCACCTCCTCGGAGCTGCTGCCGGAGCTGCTGCCGGAGCTGCCGGAGGCTCCGTCCCGCCCGTCCCGTTCCGGTTCCCGGTCCCGGTGCCGCTCCCGCTCCCGTTCCCGCAGCAGGAGGCGCAGCGCGGCCTCGCGGGGTCCGTGCGCGGTCAGCAGCAGCTCCAGCGCTCGCTTCTCCTTCTGCGCCAGCTGCAGCCGCGTCCGCAGCTCCGCCAGCGCCTCCTGGAACCGCGGGGAAACTGAGGCACGGCCGGCGAGACAGGGAGGGACCCGGGAGGGATCCGGGAGGGAGCCAGGGAGGGAGCCAGGGAAGGATTCAGGGAGAGTCCCAGGGAAGGATTCAGGGAAGGATCCAGGAAGGGATCCATGGAGGGACCCAGAGAGGGTTCCAGGGAAGGATCCAGGAAAGGATTCAGGGAAGGATCCAGGGAAGGATTCATGGAGGGATCCATAGAGGAATCCATTTAGAAGTCATGGGAGGGATCCACAGAATGTCCCAGGGAAGGATTTAGGGAGGGATCCATGAAGAAATCCATCAAGAAATCATGGGAGGGATCCAGGGAAGGATCCATGAAGGGACTCAGGAAAGGATCCAAGGAAGGATCCATGAAGGGATCCATGAAGGGATCAAGGGAGGGTCCCAGGGAAGGCTTCAGGGGGGGATCCATGGAGGGATCCAGGGAAGGACCCAAGAAAGGATTCAGAGTAGGATCCATGAAGGGATCCAGGGAAGGGTTCAAGGAAGGATCCATTAAGGGATCCATGAAGGGATCCAGGCAAGGATCCCGGCCCACCTTGAGCACCGCCAGCTCCTGTAGCAGCTCCTCCTTGTCCGGCCGCCTCCAGCCGGGCAGCAGCGCCCGCGCTTCCCGCAGCGCCCGCTCCGCCCGGCCTCGGGGGTCGCGCTCCCGGGGGGGCTCCGAGGGCTCGGGGGCGTCCAGCAGCGACCCCTCCACCGCCGCCTGCTCGGCGCGGAGCCGCCGGATGCGTTCCCGCAGCGCTCCCTCCTCCATCCCCCGGGGGCTGCGGGGCGGGCACGGCGGCGGTGGGCACGGGGCACCCGGGGGGGGCTCAGCGCCGGGACCCCCGCGCCCCCCGGTACCTGTCCGCGGAGTCCTCACGGCTGTCCGGCTCCGCTGGCCCCGGGGGCTCCGGTGTGGCGGGGCCAGGTCCCGGTGCGCGGCCCGGGCTCGGTTCCGGTGTGGCGGGGCCGGGTCCCGGTGCACGGCCCGGGCTCGGTTCCGTCCCGGTTCCCGAGCTCGGCGCGGGCAGTGCCGCTGCCCAGGGGTGCCCACAAGGTGGTGTGGGTGGCACTGGGATGCCCCACAAGTTCCCTGCATCCCCCCAAAGCCCTCCCAGTATCTCCCAGTATCCCTCGTGCATCCCCCAGTATCCCCTCATGCATCCCTTCAGCATCGTCCCTGGGGCCGGGTCCCGGTTCACGGCCCGGGCTCGGTTCCGCCCCGGTTCCGGGGCTCGGCGCGGGCAGTGCCGCTGCCCAGGGGTGCCCACAAGGTGGTGTGGGTGGCACTGGGATGCCCCACAAGTTCCCTGCATCCCCCCAAAGCCCTCCCAGTATCTCCCAGTATCCCTCGTGCATCCCCCAGTATCCCCTCATGCATCCCTTCAGCATCGTCCCTGATTGCTCCCCAGTATTCCCCCAGTATTCCCAGTATCCCCCCAGTATCTCCCCAGAAGTCCCAGTATCTCCCCAGTGTCCTCCCCATCACCCCAGTATCTCCCCAGTATCCCCCCAGTATTCCCAGTATCCCCCAGTATCTCCCCAGCAGTCCCAGTATTCCCCCCAGTATCCTCTCCATCACCCCAGTATCTCCCCAGCAGTCCCAGTATCTCCCCAGTATTCCCAGTATCCCCCCTCACAACCCTCCAGTCTCCCCCAGCTCCCCGTGTCCCCCCGTGTCCCCCCGCTGTCACTCACCCCCACGGGTGCCACCCTCCGGTGCCACCTTTGCCCGCACCAGGTCCAGGAGGGCGGCGTAGGCCCCCCCGCAGCGCTCGCTGGGGGACGAGGGGCTCAGGGGGACTGTCCCCAGCCCTGTCCCTGTCCCCATTCCTCATCCTTGTCCCCATTGCCATCCGAGTCCCCATCCTGATCCAGATCCCGGTCCTGATCCTGATCCCTGTCCCCATCCTGTCCCACCCCATCCCTGCCCCCATCCCTGTCCCAATGCCGGGGGGTTCACCAGGACTGTTCCCATCCCTGTTCCCATCCCTGTCCCTGTCCTTGTCCCCATTCCCACCTCTGTCTCTATCCTGTCCCCATCCTGAGGATCTCAGGAGCCTGTCCCCACCCCACCTCTGTCCCTGTCCCCTGTCCCTATCTCCTATCCCTGTCCCCATCCCTGTCCCCGTCCCGTGTCCCACCTGCAGCGCAGTGCCAGCCTCAGCCCACTGCAGCTCGGTGGGGCTGTCCCCTGTCCCCATCCCTGTCCCCTGTCCCCATCCCGTGTCCCACCTGCAGCGCAGTGCCAGCCTCAGCCCGCTGCAGCTCAGTGGGGATGTCCCTTGTCCCTGTCCCCTGTCCCCTGTCCCCATCCCGTGTCCCACCTGCAGCGCAGTGCCAGCCTCAGCCCGCTGCAGCGCGCCTCTCTCCGGCCCAGCTCCAGGCTCAGCCGCTCCGCCTCGTCCTTGCACTCGCCCAGCGCCGCCAGCAGCTCCCGGTTCGCCTCCTGCAGCCGCGCCAGCACCCTGCGGGCCCGCGGGCCCCGGGCCGTGCCTCAGTGTCCCCACGGGGGTGGGGGGCTCGGGGCTTGGGGGGCACTCCGGGCTCGGGGGGCACTCGGGTCTTGGGAGGGATTCACCTCCCGGGGGAACCGGGACAGAACAGGGGGAACCGGGATGGAACTGGGACAGAACGGGAACCTGGGGGCACCGGAGCCGTGCCTCACTGGGGGCTCGGGGGGACTCACCCCTGCAGCTGCTGCAGCCGCTCCTCCTGCTCCCGGCCGGGTCCCGCCGAGGGCTGGGGGGACAGCGGGGCGCGGGGCTGCAGGGGAGGGGGCGACATGGAGGGGAGCGGCCCGGGGGGGTCCCCCCGGCGGCGGCACCGCCACCACCCCGGGTGACATCCTGCGGAGGGGACCCCAGAGCCCCGTTCAGGGCAGGACCCACCCGTGCCACGGCCCCGCACTCACCCGGTGCCCAGGGGGGCTGCTGGGCCCGGGAGTGTCACCGGTCCCGGGAGTGTCCCCGACCCCGGGAGTGTCACCGGTCCCGGGGGTGTCACCGTTCCCGGAGATGTCGCCAGTCCCAGAGGTGCCACCGACCCCGGGGGTGTCACTGCCAGACCCCCCCAGCTCCTCCAGCCTGGCCAGAGCCTCCCGCAGGTCCCGCACCTGAACGGTACACGAGGCTCAGCACCGGCACCGCTCTGGTGACACCCGACGGTGGCACCCGGTGACACCCCGAGGGTGCCACCGGCTGTCCCGCACCCACCTTGCCCTGCAGGCGTTCCCGCTCGCCCCGCAGCGCCCGCAGCGCGGCCGTGGCCGTGCCCAGCTCCTCGTCCCGCTGGTCCAGCGCTGCCCGCAGGCTGGCGTTCCTCGCCGCCGCCGCCGCCACCTCCACCGGGAGCCCGGGGCCCGCCGCCACCTCCGGCCACCAGCGGCGCGCCCAGCCCGGTGTCCGGCTCAGCTCCTGCAAGCTCTGTCCGTGCCGGGCGGGTCAGTCCGTGCCCGCCGTGCCGGGCCGGTTCCGTGCCCCTGTACCGGGCCGGTTCCGTGCCTCTGTACCGGGCCGGTTCCGTGCCCGCCGTGTCGGGCCGGTTCTGTGCCCGCCGTGCCTCACCTGCAGCGCTCTGTGCCAGCCCGGGGCGGGCGGCGGCCGCGGCGGGGGCTGCCGGTGGCGGGAGAACACGGCGCGCTCCAGGGAGCTCACGGCGTGCTGCAGGCGCTCGAAGAGATCCGGGCTGCGCGCTGGGGACAGCGACAGCGACACTGCCATCAGGGCAGGGACAGCGCGGTGGTGGCACCTGTGGTGGCACAGGGTGCGGCGCTCACCGTCCGCGCTGGCAGCGGCGACAGTGGCGACAGAGGGGGTGGCCTCCCAGCCGTCCTCATCCTCACTGCGGGGCGAGGAAGGGCACGGTGAGGTCCCGGTGTCCCCTCGGTCCCGGTGTCCCCGTTGTCCCCTCAGTCCCGGTGTCCCCTCAGTCTCGGTGTCCCCGCTGTCCCTTCAGTCCCGGTGTCCCCGCTGTCCCCTCAGTCCCGGTGTCCCCGCTGTCCCCGCTGTCCCGGTGTCCCCGCGGGTGGCGCGGGGGCTGGCGCGGTACCTGGCGGAGCGCTGCTGTCGCCGCTGCTGTCGCGGGGCCGCCCCTGCCAGCAGCGGGATGTCCTCGGTGTCACCAGCCACGTCCTCGTCATCCTCCTCCTCCTCTTCTTCCTCCTCCTCCTCCTCCCGGGGGGTGCCCGTGCCCCGTTCAGCACCGGGGACACAGCGGGTGGCACCTAACGGGCTCTCCTGGCACAGGGACGAGCTTTGGCCACCAGCCCGGCCCGCGGGGCCACCAGGCCCGTCCTGCCGCCCGCAGCGGGAATTCCACCGCGGAGCGGGCACGGGGAGCCCCGGGAGCGCTGGGCCAGTCCCGGGTGGGGCAGTCCCGGGTGGGCTCAGCCCCGTTTGGGGCCAGTCCCGGGGTGTGACCCCGGTTTGGGGTCAGCCCCATTTGAGGTCAGCCCCGTTTGGGATCAGTTCAATTTGGGATCAGTTCCATTTGGGGTCAGCCCCGCGCTGTGCCCGCTCACCTCCTCCATGCCGGGATCGTCCTCCCCGTGGCTCCCAGCACGTCCCAGTTCCAAACTGGAGCTCCCAGCACGTCCCAGTTCCAAACTGGGGCTCCCAGCACGGCCCAGCTCCACTCTGAGGGTCCCAACACGTCCCGGTTCCACACGGGGGCTCCGGGATGTCCCGGTTCCACCCCCAGGCTCCCAGCAGGTCCCAGTCCCACTCTGGGGTTCCCGTTCTCTCCCGGTTCCCCCAGGTTCCCGTTCTCTCCCAGTTTCACACCGAGGGTCCCGCTCCATCTCGGGGCTCCCATTCTCTCCCGGTCCCCCCCGTTCTGTCCCGGTCCCCCCCGTGCTGCCCCCATTCTCCCCAGGTTCCCGTTCTGTCCCAGTTCCATCCCAGTTCCCTCCGCTCTCTCCCAGTTCCCCCTGGTTCCCGTTCTGTCCCGGTCCCCCCATTCTCTCCCGGTTCTCCCCACATTCCCATTGTCTCCCAATCCTCCCCGGTTTCCATTCTCTCCCGGTTCCCCCCGGTTCCCCCCATTCTCTCCCGGTCCCCCTGTTCTCTCCCGGTTCCCCCGTTCTCTCCTTGTCCCCCCGTTCTCTCCCGGTCCCCCCGTTCTCTCCCGGTTCCCCTGTGCCCCGCCTGGGGGGCACCGCGGGGCCCTTTTGGGGTACCCTGCCCCCCCAAAAACCCAACCCCCTCCCAAAAATCCCAAAACTCCCCCAAAATCCCCAAACTCCCCCATGTGGTCGTGCTCTCCCCGGTGCCAGGGCGCTGCCACCCCCACCCCACAGGGCACCCCCCCAATGGGACGGGGATCCCAGGACGCTTTTGGGGTGTGCAGGGGGATTTGGGGGGGCTGGGAGAGCTTTGGGATGCTGTGAGGCGTGGGGGGGTGCTGGTTTTGGGGTGCTGAGGGGGTATTTGGGGTGCGGGAGGGGGAAGGGGTGTGGAGCAGGGGGATTTGGGGTGTGGGAGGCGGTTCTGGGGGGGCACACGGGGATTTGGGGTGCACGTGGATATTTGGGGTGCACGTGGATATTTGGGGTGCGAGGGGGAGCACATCGATATTTGGGGCGCAGACGGATATTTGGGGGTTCAGGTGGATATTTGGGGGGCGCACATGGACATTTGGGGTGCGGGAGGCGGTTCTGGGGGTGCGCATGGATATTTAGGGTAGAACGCGAGTATTCGGGGTGCAGAGGGCGGGGCACAGGGATATTTGGGGTGCAGGAAGCCGTTCGGGGGGGTGCACACGATGTTTGGGGTGCGGCAGAGGCGCAGCGCGGTTTGTAGGGGCATTTGTGGGGCGGGGGGCGGCGTTCGGGGGCTTGGCCGGGGGGCCA